TTTGTTTTTTCAAGAGTTTTCTAGGTTTTTGTCAATTTATCTTCCAGATACATCGGAAAATTTGAAAAAACAGTGAAAACGAGCGAAAAAATTTTAAAAGTTTGAATTCGCGCGCTTTTACTCGCCGGGCGGCCTAGAAAAAACCTCGTCCCTAAGGGCTTTCATCGTATTTTTCGATGCGTTTTTCTCGATGAAGGAATTTTTTCGAATTTTTTCTTTATTTTTATGACAATCTAAATGCATTTCTGCACATATTGATGCAATAAAAATTTTCACCGTACACCACCTTTAAGTATAGCGAGCATGTACGGTTATCCTTAAAGGAAGAAGGACAGAAAAGTCTAATAAAGTTTTTTTCGACTCATTTGGCTTTGTGTTAAATGAAACTACGGTAGTTTACTGGCCCATACTCCGGGGGTACATCAAAAAGGGGTACATTGAGGGTACATCACTCTTATAGGGTACATTGACTCAGAGGGTACATTGACTGATAGGGTACATCTGTGGAGGAGTCTGATAGGGTACATTTAAGCAACTCTCATAGGGTACATCGACGAAATACTCAAAGGGTACATCGAAAAAATCTGAAAGGGTACATTGGTCTGATTTCGCACAGTTTTCGAATATTCGTAACTTAATGAGACGGACAAGTTTTATAACGAAGTTTCGGTCATTCATCGGATTATAAGCAACTTACTGATGCTCGGCGAGGTTTTGCAACGTGCTCCTCCTCAATCTTGAATAGTAAGCGCTCATTCCTCGATCACTTAGGGACGAACATTGTATCTTTCATTGTATCTGTTTGAAGTTATTTATCTTCCTGGGCTAGAAAAAAAAGTGTAGCTCGCTGCTCAAGCTTTCAGAATGCGGGTAAATTACTAAAATTGTTTTGAAATAGCGTTCCTAAGTGATCGAGGAATGAGCGCTTACTATTCAAGATTGAGGAGGAGAACGTTGCAAAACCTCGCCGAGCATCAGTAAGTTGCTTATAATCCGATGAATGACCGAAACTTCGTTATAAAACTTGTCCGTCTCATTAAGTTACGAACATTCGAAAACTGTGCGAAATCAGACCAATGTTCCCTTTCAGATTTTTTCGATGTACCCTTTGAGTATTTCGTCGATGTACCCTATGAGAGTTGCTTAAATGTACCCTATCAGACTCCTCCACAGATGTACCCTATCAGTCAATGTACCCTCTGAGTCAATGTACCCTATAAGAGTGATGTACCCTTTTTCGATGTACCCTCGGAGTATGGGCCTAGTTTACTGTATGAATAAGTGCAATCGTAGTTCATGCAAAGACTATCAAAGTAAAATTACAGTAAGCCAGTTTACGAAAATAACCCAAAAAGTTGAAAATTCAGAATCCAATCACAACACCACATCTATCTTCGCCCCATTCGCCCCGTAATATATTTTTCACAAAACCAAAGTGGAACCGTTTTTGTCTATTCTCCCATTTATTTTGAAGGTCTCCTTAATGTTTTTGAGATAGAGAATGGAAAATGCTTTTTGTCTCATAACCTTCAAAAAGAAAACCACTTGGCAATTTAAACGGTCAATTGAAGACACACCGTCTTTTATGAAATTGTTCTTCGACGAAAATTTGAGGTTTTGCAGTTTGAACAAGATAAATGGTTACTGTATCAAAATCCTTTTTTGGTTACTAATAAATTTATGAACCTTTCTCATTTATCAATTCCTTCTCGAGTCAAAAATCAAAGTATCCTTCTTCGTTTTCCTTTCATTTTTCTCCCTATCATCTGATCGAGAAATAGGTATTCTCGGTCGAATGAAGATCATGACGTCATCATGTTTTCTCAAGAGTGTACAGTAACCCATCGAAAGAAGTGGCAGTTCTTTCCCTCCAAATTTTGAAAACCGGTTTCTGTTTTTATTTTTATTTCTCAACTTGGTCATGATGGAGATCCTTAGAACGCCTACTTTAGTAGACTACACTCCACTTGTTTCCTCCAACATCGGAAGATCAGTTTTTGTGTTAATCGAAAGAAAGTCGTGATCACCCTTGCCAACCTGTCAAAATGCACCGCGAGCAGTCTCCTTCTCTGAGTCTCGTATTTATCAACTGATCTCTCAATGTTCTGTTGTTTTTTTACTTGAAATTCGCACGCAGTAGACAACGGAAATTCATCGCTAATTGATATTTTTGCAGATGACCAAACTAGGCGCCCAACCCGGTGTTCACGGGAGTGAGGACATCGAGAAAGAGCCCATCAAGATCGATCCAAAGGTGAGTTGCTGTGAAACCTGTATTAGAAGTGCTCCTCTAGTTGAAGGGCCTCTCTATTTGAAGTGCCCCTAGAGACCCCTTATGAATGTTCCTTCTAATTGAAGGATCCCCATATACTGACTTTTAGAAGAATAGCTGAAAATTTATCGGAATTTTTTGAGAACCATCTTTTTTCTAAAAATACATTTTTTGTGAAATCTGCTGATTTCCGCATTTTGAGGTTACAGGTGTCATAAAAGCAAGTCGTCATTTTGAACATAGCGAAGCTTCTCTATTTTCATAAAAACTTTTTGAATTGGTCTTTTTTTATCGGCCTTTTTAAAAATTATTATCTAGGACTACTATACCTCAATTTTTTCAAAGTTGAAATTTTCTGAAATCCAAAATTCGTGCTTCGAGCGTTCAAAAATTATACTTCAGTTACACTATATCATCTTGGACTACTGTAGCTCAACTAAACTAGGATTACTGTGGCTCAATTTTTTCAAACTTTATATTTTCTGATATTCAAAAATTTGAAATTACCAAGTTAGTAAAACGAGTTCACCAAAAGGATCTAGATTATACAAAGTCTAGACCCTCTCCAGATACCGTAAAATTTGTAAAAGAAAGGGTCCCATACTGTTAAGTTCGAGTAGAATTATCTCGATTCGTATGCAAGATTTCAAAAACATGTCAACTGATGAATGTTTGTGATATTATGATGAGCAATTTATCAGTTGACAACTTTTTTATTTCTTTGACAGAAATCGAGAAAAAATGGCTAAAAATTAAAAGGGCCCTTCTATTACAGGTTTTACTGTATTTTTGAAATCAATCGAGTTTTTTGAAATTAAACATCATAGTCTTCATTTCAGGTGTTCACAGTCCTTCAACCAACTATCATCCCAATGCCGGCTCCACCAATGAAACCTGCTCCATCGCCAGCATGGCAAGCCATGCGTGCTTGCTTCCATTGCATGTTCTTCGCCACGTGTCTTCTTCTCGTCACTCTCATCGGATTCTACTTCTTGGCTGCAACTCCAGATCTCTTCAAGGTATTTTCAGATTCATTCGATTCCCAAAAAATGTATTTTTAGAAAACTGAAACCGTGTCATCAGTCGATAAGCCACAAATGGAGGCATTGCTTGCTGCTCAACCCATTGAAGGATCATCAGAGAAAACAACGAATTCAGCAGAAACCGCAGGAATAATGGCGATTCCATTGGCTCGTGTCGTTGTTGTTGAAGACATTTCCAACAATAACGGAGAGAAGAAAACCGTTGTAGATGGATCTGTAGAAGAGAAATCCACTTCTAACTTGGATCGTCCACTTCATCCAGACGAGATTGAGCAATACCGTATGATGGAAGCTCGTCAACAATTCCAACAAATGATGGAAGAACGCATGTACATGCAACAAATGATGGCCATGAGAATGATGAGAATGAGAAGACTCCAAGCTGCTTACTACCAGCAACAACAGATGAAAATGACTTATTATCAACAGCAGCAACAACAAATGCAAGAAGAAGCCGCCCGTCAGGAATGGGCCGAGAGATCCAGATACGAGGAAGAGCAACGCCGTCAATGGGAAGCTCAACAGGCTCAGGCTCAACAGCAAAGAGCACAGGCATTCTGGCAACAACATCAGATGGAGATTCAGGCTCAGCAAGCTCAAGCTCAACAGGCTCAAGCTCAATGGCGACAACAGCAACAGGAGCAACAGCAACAACAACCACACTTCTGGCCAAGACCAATGATGCATCAGCAACAATGGCAAAGACCAACTGTATGGCAACAACCACCACAACAGTTCTTCTTCCCATCCCAACAACAGAAACAACAAAACCAACAACCACAACAACAGCAACAACCAGAAGATCGTTTCCCACAAGCTCCACAGTTTTTCCAACCAGTTCCAGAGCCATCTGTTCACGATAAGATCTACGAAGAGCTTCAGAAGAAGTCCCAAAACATTCCTGTCAATGCTCCATCTCGTCAAATCTGGACTGCCATCACTCCAACTCCAGCTCCAGAAGCATCTGGAAACGCTGACGTCACCGTTGCATCAAACACCGCGATTCCAGCAGTGGTAGCCAGCAGCACCCCAATGCCAGAAGACGCTGCTGAAGTTTCAGACACTATTCTCAGAGATATTTTCTCAGCTTTCGATGAACAGAAGAACTCAGAGGTTTTTTTTTATTTGAAAAAATTGTATATCAATAGAAATTAATATCAGGCCGCCAACAAAGAGCTCAACTCTGCTCCAGCTACCACTGAGGAGCCAGAACTCGAAGGAAAGGGAGCTATCGTTATTGAAGATAGTTTCCCAAGAATTGAGGAACGCACGACGACTCCGGAACCAATGGAATCTAATGAAGAAATTGAGCACTCTTCAGAAGACAAGGATCATGAGAAGGAGTTGGATCCATTCGCCGCTGTTCTCAAATTCTTCGAGAACAATCCACCAAGAGAAGTCATCGAACAACAGCAACAACAAGAGACAACTGAGCAACCACAGAAACCACTTATTATATGAAAACCGTTTTCTGAAAAACTAAAAAACTGAAAAAAAAAGAAAAAAGATGAATGTAATAATTGTTATACAATTTGATTTCCGATTTTCCCCCTTTTCTTCCCATGTTTCCACCCGAATTTCCATCATTTGAATCTTTTACGCGTGCAGGTTTGTAAATAAAATTATTCACTGTTAATCTGAATCAAGATGAGAATCTCAGAAAGTTAGAAAATAGGAAAAAAAGAAATTAAATTTCGGGAGTTGTTGAATTCTTAAATTTTGGGAATTCAGAAGCGCTCTCGTATTTTTCATTGCACAAAAAATTTATTTTTAAAAAGAACTAGAACTTCTCGAATTCTAAAATTCGGGAGTTCAAAAGTTCGGACTTTGAAAAGTTTCAAAATTCAATGTTTCCGAAATTCAGAAACACAGAAATTCAAAATTTAGCAAAATCAAAATTTGAAAATTCGGAAATTCCAGAAGTAAGAAAGTCCAAACTTGGAAATTCGGAAATTCAAAATTTTAGAAATTTAGAAATTTAAACTTCGAAAATCTAATGAATTAATCAAAATCTCAGAAATCAACAAATAATGAAATTCAGTAATTCAGAACTTTAAAAATTCGGATAGCCTGAAATTGGAAATTAGGAAATTTAAAGATGAATATGAAAAAGTTTATTGAAGAGAAATGAAAAGTTCTGAACAGGAAAACTACTCCTTCTTGTCGTCGTCCTTTTTGTCCTGAAATATTAATTTTTTTGAAAACTATGAAATTCAGAAATTCACATCGTCCTTCTTCTCGTCATCCTTCTTTTCGTCTTTCTTTTCGTCTTCTTTTTTGTCATCATCCCTCTTGTCGTCGTCCTTCTTTTCCTTCTTCGTTTTCTTTGACTTGTTTGACTTCTTGGATTTCTTGGATTTTTTGGATGTTTCCTTCTTCTCGTCCTTCTTCTCTTCTCTTATCGCCATCCTTCTTGTCCTCTCCTTCCTTCTTATCATCCTTCTTCTCTGATTTCTTTTCACCGTCCTTCTTTTCTTCTTCCTTCTTTTCTCCATCCTTCATCTCCTCTCCTTCTTTCTTTTCATCTTTTTTTTCTTCTACATCCTTCTTATCACTCTTCTTCTCTCCATCAGCAGCCGTCGAAGCTGGAGCAGGTGGTGGAGGCGTCATTTTCGAACCTGCTTTTGGTGGCCTAGAAAATTTATTTGATTCAAAGTCATGAGATATTTCAAACTAACGCGGTCTTTTTCTTTCCACCGCATCCTATAACAACGGCAATTGGGCCGATGAGCATCAGCGTCAAATGGAGATAGTCGAGGGGGCTCATCGTCGTTACCGCGTTTTGGCGTAGATTATTTGATTGGGTGTATCGAAAGAGTAGATTCGAAACTGATTTTCTTTCCCGAAGATCAGCTTCTTTTTTTAGACCTTCCTGTCGATGTCATGAGTCTTTTTTTGGCAAAATGAGACAGCCTAGTTAGAAGTACTTTCAGTCAGCTTGAGTCCGAAAACATTTTTTGAGGTGCTGATGGTCATTCTAAGCTCGGATCAACTCACATTCAATTTTTTTTAATTCGGCCTTTCAGAAAACGACTTCACAAAACGGGAGAATGACAGTGTCTTGCACAAGAAGAATGTAGAAGAAAAGAAAGATGAAAAGAAGGAAGGAGAGGAGAAGAAGGATGGAGAAAAGAAGGAAGAAGAAAAGAAGGACGGTGAAAAGAAATCAGAGAAGAAGGATGATAAGAAGGAAGGAGAGGACAAGAAGGATGGCGATAAGAGAAGAGAAGCAGGACGAGAAGAAGGAAACATCCAAAAAATCCAAGAAATCCAAGAAGTCAAACAAGTCAAAGAAAACGAAGAAGGAAAAGAAGGACGATGACAAGAAGGATGATGACAAAAAAGAAGACGACAAGAAAGACGATAAGAAGGATGACGAGAAGAAGGACGATGTGAATTTCTGAATTTCATAGTTTTCAAAAAAATTAATATTTCAGGACAAAAAGGACGACGACAAGAAGGAGTAGTTTTCCTGTTCAGAACTTTTCATTTCTCTTCAATAAACTTTTTCATATTCATCTTTAAATTTCCTAATTTCCAATTTCAGGCTATCCGAATTTTTAAAGTTCTGAATTACTGAATTTCATTATTTGTTGATTTCTGAGATTTTGATTAATTCATTAGATTTTCGAAGTTTAAATTTCTAAATTTCTAAAATTTTGAATTTCCGAATTTCCAAGTTTGGACTTTCTTACTTCTGGAATTTCCGAATTTTCAAATTTTGATTTTGCTAAATTTTGAATTTCTGTGTTTCTGAATTTCGGAAACATTGAATTTTGAAACTTTTCAAAGTCCGAACTTTTGAACTCCCGAATTTTAGAATTCGAGAAGTTCTAGTTCTTTTTAAAAATAAATTTTTTGTGCAATGAAAAATACGAGAGCGCTTCTGAATTCCCAAAATTTAAGAATTCAACAACTCCCGAAATCTAATTTCTTTTTTTCCTATTTTCTAACTTTCTGAGATTCTCATCTTGATTCAGATTAAACACTTCAATTTACAATAACAATTTTTGGTTGGAGTCCCTTTAATGAATTTTAATGAATTTTATCCCTTTAATGAATTTTATCACAAAAAAAGTTCAGGTTAAAATCGGAGAACACTTAGTTTCGACTGTGCCAAAAATCCCTTCTCTATTGACTTTGCGTACACATAACATCGATTTATCAGAACGAATTGAAGAACAGAAACTGTAAAAAGGAGCTGTTCTGTGGTTTTTTCTTTTTGATTAAACCCACGAGCAACTGATGCAGTACTGATAATTTCCACCGAGTATCCAGTCACTAGACCCATCACAAATCGATCTTCTTCTGCAGTCTTAACACCGAGAATATTAGGATAAGTGTCATTCGATTTGTATCCAGACGAAACTTGGCTTGCGAAATATACTGGAGTGAATAGGATTCCCCCAAAGTCGAATGTAAGGTGAATTAACTGGAAATCAACTGATTGTTGTTTTTTTTTAATATCTCACCGATATGTACATGGAAACTCTCAACAGTTTTGATCGATTTTTGATTACTCCATAGAGTAAAACAACTTCCAAAACAGCTGAAACAAATCCAGACGTTTTAGTAACTAGGTCACCGTTGAAAATTGATTGCCATAAACATTCGATGAGTCCGAATATTGAGAAGCAGATGACGAAATGACGAGTTTGAAAACAGAAGATTTGAGGCTGAATTTCGTTTTTATATTTTTCTAAAATCTAATTGATTTCTCACAGGTCCACCAAATGCCATCTTTTTTTTGAAGACGTACAGCCTTATTTTTTGAATCTGCCGAAAAACATGAAAAACGAATGATTCGTGACTGAATCTACCATCCGTAAAACTGGTTATCCCCCGTAATCCCTTCCATTGTTTTTCAAACAGTTTTGAACATTTTTCATTTGTATTTTTTTGTTTTGGGTAACTTTTTACAACGGAAGAATTCAAACAGAAAAGTACTTTATTAGATATTATGTACAGTAATCCTTGGTCCTGACGACGTCACGTTGGCAGTAATTCGAGGTATTTTCGACCATCTGTACACCGTAATAACTGCGTAGTAGCGGATGAAGACTACTCAAAAAACATTTTTGAAATCAAGTTTTCAAATATGGAATTCAACTTACAAGTCCACAATGAAACCAAGATTGCTTGTATAAACAGAGCGTTGAAGAATGCGTCTGTTTCATTTCGAAGTTTTGCTTGATCTTTGAGAGTTGTCATTAGCGATACTGAATAAAGTTGAATAATAATTCTATGATCAAATTTCCCGATTTTTACCCGAAATAGCGATGAATGCAAGGTTGAAAATTATAGCTGATAATACAAGATGAACGCCCTAAAATGTTCCGAATCAACTTTCGCATTTTAAAGAAGAATAAACACAACTTACAAATATAACGAGAGCTATTAAAATCAACCATTTGCATTCCCAATAAATGATAACTGCTAAAAACAAATCCAAGAAAATTGAAATGAGCAATCCCATAAGTGACATATAGTCATTTGTATATGGTGGCTTCCATCCATAGACATAACCAAAGATTTCAGGAATTAGGAACAAAATTGATATGACGATTACGGTAATCTGTTAGTTCTTATTATGCTTTTTTAATCGGAGCTGTGGAAGAGAAACACCGGTGGCTGAAGGTCCCTCAACGACAACTACAGTAACCTAAAAATATTTATATTTTGCTTTTCGTTGAGTTTTCTGTTATTTTGCCGAAAAAAAGTAAAAAGTGAAACAATTAACTGAAAACGCAGGGAAACCGAGATAAGAAATCCGGAAAATTGAAATAGTTTTAGATGACGGTAGTTTTCGTTGTGGAACCCTCAGCCACGGCCACCCGCGTTTCTCATCCACAACTTCGATTTTTTGTACCGGAATTAATTTTTTTTTCAACCACCTACCTTTGCAGTTTTCACTTTTCTTGGAGTAGTCTATAATTAAAAATCTTTTGAATTGTCAACCTAAAATTGAAACCCACCCAAAAAATCGACATATTTTTTGAAAAAAGAAACAGTATACTCCATTTCTTTGCTTCTCGATTTCTTTTATACAGCTTCTATTCTATATTTCGCTGAATCATCGAAGAAAATTCGTTTTTCTTCTAAAGCTGTGTACAAAAACATAATTTTGTCACTTTTTGTGTCGTGTACCATTATTGCGAAAAACTACAAACAGGAACTCGAAATTTAATTAGTTGAAACGAAGAAAAAAAGAAGAAGAAGCCACTGATAGTTTCAGGGCTTGTTGTACGACAAATTTGTACGGTTTCTGTTTTTTACTTTTCCTTTAGATACATTCAAGTTTCAATTAAAGTTTCATTTTTTGAACAGTGTTGGAATTGAGAAGAATTCTAAAATTGCAGGCGGAAAAATTTGACATCAAATTTTAATGTTTTGTGATAATAATAAAAAAACATTACAAAAATGTGTAGAAAAGTGGGAAGAGAAGCAAAAGTTAAAATACAAAAATGGGTTTATGAATAAGTGTTATTAAATTACTGTCCGGGCCAGAAGTGTTGCTGCGGTGTTCCACCGATACCGTATTGTGAGGCGTTTTGAGCTGGCGGTGGTTGTTGATAATATTGCTGTGGTGGTGGTTGTTGTTGCATCTGTTGAACCGGAAGATACTGTTGCTGCTGTTGGGCCGGCTGATAAAACTGTTGCTGCAATACAAAAACTTTATAATAAAATTGATTGAAACCCCAACCTGGTAAACTTGCTGCTGTGGAGGCTGCTGCTGATATACTGGCTGCTGGATACCATATTGTTGAGCATATTGAGATTGCTGTGGGTGCTGGTACATCTGCTGGAGATATGGCTGTTGGTATACATTTTGCTGATAACCAGGCTGTTGCGGAGGATATCCTTGTTGTAGCTGTTGAGCACCCGGGTACATCATCTGCTGTTGTGGAAGATATTGTTGCTGAGGAGGCTGTTGTGGTAGTGCCTTTGTCACAGCGATAGGGGCAGGTATTCCAAGAGACGATGGTAGTGGAGGTTGACTGATATGAGGAATCGGTGCACTTTGAGATGTATTTGGGACAAGTGTGGCTGTAGCAGAGATAGGTGCAATCGTGGCACTAGGTGTGGACATAGTGCTTGATTGAGATGGAGAAGCACTGATGACAGGAAGATCCTCTGATTTCGGGATGGAAGTGGTTTGTGCTGGATCTCCAACTCGTGCTCCGTTCGGCAGTATAGTTCTTGCCAAAGCCATTTTTTGTCCTGGCAATATCGGATCTTCAGGTTTTTTCTCTGGAGTTTGTTTCGGCGAAATTGGCTTCCGACGAACTTGTTTCCCAATCGCTGCGTATACATCCGAATAGTCTTCATCCGAAGCGTCCCCATCCGAAAAACCATCATTTCTTGCATCAGTAGCTCCTCCATGGTTCATAGAAGTAGATGGATTGGAATAGAATGGCCTTGGAACGTCTTGTTCCTGTTGTGGCTGTGGTACAGATCGACTTCCGAATGCCTGTGAATAGGCAGAACTTGTGGATGTCTGAGAGCTAATTCCATATTGTTGGGGTGGAGGCTGTTGCTGTACAAGTTGCACAGGTTGAGGGGGCTGATGTTGGTGCAAAAATGAATACTGCTGAACTGGCGTAGGATTAATTCCAATACCTAATGATGAAATGACTTCGGTTATGGGTTTCTTTGGTGCTTGCGTTCCCATCTGAAACTAAACAAAATCATTTTTTTGCTCTTTTTTACAGTTTACAGTAAATTGTTCACTCACTTTTCCAGTTTCAGTATTTTTGATGAATTCTTCTAAAGCTTTGTTGCCCTCTTCCTCGTTCAAACCGAACCGAGCATACTCGGCAAGAATGGTCTCTCGTGGCACATTCCCACTGACGTGTCGCAACAGACCTTCTAAAGCCATCAACAAGCCCATTACTTTTTGTTGACGATTCTGAAAATTATTATTGATGAAACATCTATTGAAAACTATCGCACCGCTTGCTCCAGCTTTCTATTAGCCTCGATTTTTCGGCTTTCTGCAGAATGTGTTGGTGCAACAGGGGCAGGTTGGGGAGGTGGAACTGTGACGAATGAATCAATTTGGGTTCCTTGAATGGCTCCTGATTGAGTCAAATCTCGTACTGTCGCAAGTTTGGCGTTGAAATCTGCTGCCGTGCTGATGTGTTTCTGAGAGCTGGTCAGACCAGTATTGCTCTTTCCGTTTCCGAGACTCGCCAAGAAAGAATCTGTTTGCTGTTCCCATCCAGACTGCTTACGTCCATGGTTACTACCACTGTCCGAACGACTTCTAGAAGGATCTCTGGAACGACTTCTGCTTCGAGATCGACGGTCACGTCGGTCTCTATAGTGCCTGTCACGAGAACGACTTCTCGATCGAGAGCTTCTCCTATCACGGCTTCGGCGCCTTCTATCACGGCTTTTGCTTCGGCTTCGTGATCGTCTCGAACGATCGCGATCGCGACTGAAATGTAAAAGTAAAACAGGAAACTGAATGTAATGAATTACCTTCTACTTCTTTCTCGTCTTCTATTGTCACGGTGGTTTTCATGTTGCTTTCTCGAACTTCCCTCTCGTTCTACTTTCATGTCGTCCGGGCCAATTAAAACAGGAACATTGATCACTTCTGGCAAAACGATTGTGGGCCCAACGACTGTTTTGAATCCACTACTCGACCATGATTCCGTCGTTGATTTCCCGTAGAAATATTCCTCGTATCCAGGCCAAAGACGTTCAATTGTCGCTTTGTCGATTATTGTCTTCATACGAAGTTTGATCAACTTTCCAGCTTCTTTCGTCTGTCATAGTTTTTTTGGGTGAAAATATAAAACAAGAAAAAATATTACCTTCAAGTCTTTGACGAAATTTTTGAAAATGCTCTTTCGAATCGGTACGTCTTTTTCTTTCATGATTTCCTGGTAGTGATTCTTGCAATTATGGTACATATAAGTACTTTTGTGATCTTGGGAACATAGATGATGAATCATTCCCTCTGGAGCTGCCCAATGATCACAGATTGTACACATATACGAATCAAGCGATGGATCATCTAGGCAAACAATCTGAAATACAACGTTTTATGATTTATTCCAAGCTGAAGATTGAGGTGATAAAATACCTCAGCTATGGAAGTAATCCCGTACGCATCTGAATTGTCTTCAGCATTTCGACTCATCTCGCGCGGAATTTCGGCAGGATCCAAGATTTCGCCAGCTCCCATACTACGCACTGAAAGAAACAATATTACAAAAGAAGGTTGCTCATAAAGTGATAGAATATCATATTTGAGAATAATTTTGTCAGAAAAATGATTTCAAAATACAGGCAATCAAAACAACTGTTTTAAAATATGTACATTTAAAAATTCGATAAATTAGGTATCTGCCAGAACTGTCTGAATATCCAGGAGGCGCAAAAAGTGAAATGAGATGATTCAGGATAGTTTTCTGTAAGTTATGATTATATTATCTTACTGTGTTTGAGCAGATCTCCTTTATGTCGAATTCTTAATCTGTCATGAATTACTGGATCCACGAGTTTTCCTCTGATCGACGGTCTAGAAAAAGTAGGAACTTTGGATTGGGACTTTCAAACGGTGCTTTAAATGGAAAATATTTCAAAAACCAAAACTTGATCTGTGAATAAAATCTGAATATTCCCTGCTGTGTACCTTTTTCTATAAGCAGGAATTTCAGGTTGAGCTTGAGGAATTGGTCGAAACTGCACAGGAAATGCTGATGGTGTTGGCTGATTCTGGGGGAACGACAGTGATGGAGGTGGACCAAAGAACTGGGCTGGTGGTGGCTGAATTATGGGATTATTACAGGGGGATTTGTGAAGCATCAATAATTAATTCAAAAAAAACGAAGGAAAAAAAGAGAATGGAATGAGCTAACTCTGGAATTTGCCGCGCTAATATCGCATTTCTAGAATCTCCAAATTTGAAAAATCTTGAAAAACCAGACCGAAGGGACTCAACGAACTTTTTTCTTTAATTGCACAGCCGGAGAAATTTAGTTTTATGTGCAGTATATTTTGGGTCAGGAATTTCCTGAAAAATGGGAAATTTAAAGTATCTGATTTTTGCGAGACGAAGTACAAAAAACCAATTTTCGGTATCTTGAAAAATCTCAAACTCCAATTTCCCGAAAATCGCTTGTTTATAAATTAAGCGTCTCCTGGCCTATTCCTCAGTGTAACACGCGCCGCAGAAACACACCAGCCTGGTGGGAAAATGAAAATTTTAATATTCGAAAGGAAATTATGAAAACGAATTTAGCTATATATATTACCTGTTTAACCGAATTGAACACATCATATGAAGTGTTTATCCCTGGAGGTACTGCGGGAGCACTGACAGGAACCACATACGGATTATGAGATGCAGCTGGTGGTTGTGACGTTAGCTGCGGCATGATAACAAGCTTCGGATTCATAGCCGCTGATGATGCCATGTTAGGATTATGCGAAAGTAGACGCAGCTTCTCAGCTTCGAGTTTCGCTTTTTGAACATCGATTTCTCGTCTTTCGGCGTTTTTCTAAACTCGTAGTGTTAGGAAATGCCCAAATACCAAAACAGTGAAATTATTGCTAACCTGATTTGCTATTATAGAATTAAACTTCAACCGGTTCTGCAAATCAGAATCCTTCTCATACTTATGAACATTCGCAAGAGCATGATTTCGAAGATTTTCTCGTTGCATTTCTCTTTCCCGTTCTCTGTCTCTTTCCAACTGTCGTCGACGATTCTCTTCTTCAAAATTTCGATCCCATTCTTCTTGTTCTTTTCTTTTCCGCTCCGCTGCTCGTTCCGCCTTTTCTAACTTTCTCTGCTCGACTGCTGAAAAAAGAGATTGTTAAAATATTGAGAAAAGCTCATAAAGGAAAGATTAATTTGCAACGCGAACAAGTGCTTTCTGCATTAGGAACCCTTATTCAGGATCTTACCAGCCATTTTTTCCGCATCTTTTTTGGCTTTCTCTTCCGCCTGAATCTTTAGCATAATTTCGGTTTGTCTCTTTTCTTCAACATCAAACGGATCATATACCAAAATACAGTAAGCTTCTGGTGGCTGAACTTCTTTTAACAATCCTGACAAGTACTTTCGATATTCTTTTCCTTTATCAGCTGTCTGATTCGACATGTGCTTCATCAGATCACGGATATGAGTGGGACGATGTTTATGAATCCAATTCACACAGTGGCTCATCTCTTTAACGTGCGACTCCAACGACGATGCTCGCTTAGGGAAAATTTCCGCACAAACGGTACAATAGAAATCGGCTTGTTTTTTCGAGATTCCCGTAATTCGGTCTGTCGCCGGAAAACGACGTTCAATTATATCATCGAGGCCAACTATGCCATGAACATATTCATGTTTTTTCGCCTCTGCATTCCACTGCCAAATAATTTTCTGAAACGTTGACAAAAACCACTTTCTAAAATATATGTATTGAAACCCACTTTGGTAGAAGTGTTTTGAACGAGTGGCTTCACTGTATATGACGACTTTTCCTCGAGAATTCCAAATGCAGATATCACATTCGTTTTGCAGACTTCAGATCTTTTATGATGTTCTTCAGAACATAAATGAGAAGTAAAGATGTCCTTCTGCCACGTGGATGCATCAGCAATAACAAGAAGTTGGCAATTCTAAAATTCTGTGTAAAATGGAACAAATCCAAAAGAAACAAACTGACGTCACATCTACAGACAACAGATGCAAGTTCGTTGTCAGATCCTCTATGGGTATTGATAATAACCATTCTTGATGCTATCAATGCTTCTCTTGCAGTTATTTGAGCATCATTTCCTGAAACCATCGAAGCTAAATATTTGAAGATCAATGAAGCTTATTACCGCCATCACAAGAGATTTCATCCACTAGTTTTAGCACTGTTTCATAAATGTCTTTTCCTGATTCGTCGGCGAACAGCGAACTTTGGACAAGCCTTTGAGAAACGGAAGGCCATGCAGATAATTCGAGAGTTTTCAACTTGGAATAAAGCTAAAACAAAAGAAAAATTAACCCTTTTAAAATTAAAATCTTTAGAATTCGTACTGTCATTCGTTTCTGAAAGATTCCCGAGCTTCTCTGAAGAAAATCCATCAAAAACTTTCGTTTATTCTCGTCTGTTTCCGGACCAAGAAGAGTTCTCACTAGGTCAGGAGCGGTGAGAAACTGAAACACCAGCATCTTGAAAAAGATTTAAGAAATGCTCAAACGAACGATGTACTGCTTAAGATGATCGTATGATCGAATATGTTGATTAACAAAAACAGGGTTCTTCGAGAAGACTTTCTGACAACATTGACATGCTACTTCGTTTGACTTTTCGTCCTCAATCATATATTCAAGACCAACATCACATTGAGTTTGAATAAGAACATCCTGGAACTCAATGTTTTTTTTTCGAAAGTTTATTTTTCTTGCAATACCTTATTCACTTTCCAAACTCCTTTAACTTCGGTATCGATGTTAAAAATAGTCGACGAGTATGGTACGAAATAGCTCGGATCTGTGATTTTGAATTTTACAAATTAGATTTTTTAAGCCTCTAAATTACCAAAAGAGATACGGTAACTCATTGCAGCTGATTGAAAATGAATAGGACTAAGCACATGTTGTGTCCAAATCGCATTCATCTTGTCCTCAGTGTCCACAAACTTTGCTCTAAACTCAATGTACGTTCTACACACTTGACAGAATCGGAAAACTGTTCCAGGAAGGTTGTCTTTGTAGTCGTCTATGACTTCAACTGGCGGATCTGAGTGAACATGAACGTCTCCTTCCAGCATGTTTTTGAGAGTAGCCGGAAAGCGAGTCAGTTTATGTAGTTTTTTCTTATTGTCCTGTTCTAACGAGATTTCTGCTATAAACTTTTTCCGAGCTTTTTCGCGACGATCCCGTCCAGAGAGCTGATGTGCTATGTATGACTTATAAGGATCGAGCATGTTCTGAAAATTAGTAAATGAGAATGATAGTTGTTTTTTTTTCTGTCACTAACCAAGTATTTGAAAGCATGGTATTCTGAGCTGAAATGATCCGAAATTTTATCCGAATCGACAAGAGCATAGCAGACAGTGCACATCGTCTCATTTCTAGCACGGACGCAATAACGATACCCACATGGTTGGCTCAAATACCACTGGCCTGGGCTTCGTTCAATCCAGTGGATATCTCCAATGTCTTCTCGCGATTTGTACTCTTCAAAAATTTCTTCTGGATCAACTGAAAAAACAATGAGATAAAAAACAGGCAAAATTATCATGCGTATTGTTACACACATTCGTTTATGATAGAGCAAATAGTGGCACAGCGTTGATGACTTGGGTGTTCGAAATGATTGGCTTGAGCACGATCTTTCGTATATTTACCAACTATGTGGACAGGAATGATTTCGTTACAAGTCTGAAAAACTAGGCTGATATCGAAATTCAAACTCGAACAATCCACATACACTACAGTACATAAAGGTTCGATCTGGCTCTCCAGGATATGGTTGGAAAGTGATTTCAGATGTATCTTTTATTCCCAACTGTTTCTTTCCATCTTCTTTGCTCAATGGCATTCGAAGAATACTTGGAGGTTGGAGTCCATTGATTCCATCCTCTTGTTGGAAAATCTCCTCAGCAACTGAGCGGTATTTCTCGTATTTTCCACACTCATCGTTTGCAAATTCCGCTTCGATCTTCTCGTTGTCGTATTCACATTCTTCCTAGAGTTTCAAAAAGAAAATTAGGTTGAAATTTTGGAAAAAGAAGAAAAATAGAAAACTATAATAAAGTGGAAAAATAGGAAGAGAAAGCAAGAAAATAAATCTCATAATTGCAATGAATTTGGTATTACCATATAGTTCCTGATGTGTACCATCGAATTCAGATGAGCGTCCGCAGATTCAAATGTCGCTCCTGCCTCGTAACATATATTGCAAGTCCAGAAATTCGCCTTCTCGTGATCAGGAAGTCCGATTTGTTGAATTTCCTGACACTGATGAAGACCTAGAAGATTTCGGTTTATGTTTCAAACGTTATGACAGCCTGTCGACGCACCAACAACATGCATCTTCTTCAGTTTGTATCTTTCAAGCATTTCAGAAATCGCGACTGTCCCATGAATAATAGAGCTTGAAAAGAACTTGTGCAAGTTCCATTTCTGAAAGATTGAGCGTTTTCCAAGATCAACAGTTTAATACTCACTTTGAGATGGGTTTCAGTTTTTCGATGTTCCTGCTTATCATATTCGTCAACACACTTTACTCGGCAAGCATTGCAATACTCGTCTTTTCCCCATACATCACTATCATCTTCCATTATCTGAATAATAATAAAACAACCCATGAGTATAACGAAAACATGTAAAACAATAGAAGATACAAAAAAAAGTACGAAAATGCGATATCTCAACGCAGAAACGCAAAAAGTAAAGCCAAAAATTGAAACTTTGCTGTAAAAGAATTTAGGATAAAGTGTTTCAGGTTAAAGCAAATCTTTGAAATTTTGTCATAATCAATGGGATGAATTGAAATGAAAAAGGGATATTTAGCATAGTATACACAGAAAATCACATGAATAAAAGCAGAATGAAATTGAGGTGTGGAGCAATAAAATTTATATAGATGATATTTTCGCCAACTGATTCGGTAGTGAAAACTGTTCAGACCAGGGATGGGTGATTCTGAAAAGTTGGAGATTACAAAGAAGTTACAGTGAAGGTTCATTTCATAAAAGAACTCGAAAACTTGTTATAGTCATGCGTTTTGTGTTAAATACTTCGTAAAGAAATTCACTCTGATTAGATTTTTTTTTTTCAATTTTTTCAAACTTTCAATTCAACCCTGTAACTAAAACTTACTCGGCAAAATTCTAATGTTTCCTGAACTTCGATATTTATAAAATTAAAAAGAAACAGAATAACATACCTTCAAATCCCAGAGGGCAACAATTCCGTCAGTTCCACATGTTGTGAATTTGGAAACGTTACCGACGGTTCCAGAATGTGGGAGAATTTGTCTAAAATTGGCTCAAGGAATCAAATTTTATCAAGAAAAGTGTTTCTTACGTAATACGATTCTGATGAAGTGTCTTCAAAGCTACAACAACTTTCTCGGCTGCATTGTTTCTGGAATTCGATTTAAAAAATACACGAGCTGCTGAGTATTATCAATACCGGTCGATATTTTTAAAAAGCTGAAGAGCACTGTTCACACTTGACGATTTGGTGGCCGATGGAACATCCAGCTTACAGACTTCTTTCAGAATATCCTGAGAAACAACGAAAAGAACTGGCGAGCAATCATGACCCGCAGCTACAATGCTGTTCTCTGTTATCCATTCGACTGTTGTGAAAGGGAGATGAACTGTACGCAAGTTTTGAGCTTTTTGGCTATCCTGAAACAGAGTAATAATTAATTTTCAATTTAAAGGTGGGGGGACATGAGAAAAATAATGTTGTCGAAATTCCGTTCAAATATGCTCCTCGAGGAGTTGAACTTGTCGAGGCGAGTGTTGAAGGTGCGGCGCCGTAAAATCCCCCGTAAAATCTCCTGTCCCCCCACCTTTAAGCTGAATTTCTTTGAACTCACAACAGTAGAATCGACGAATGACACAGAAGAATCATGAGAGACGAAAGCCAATCGGCATCCAGATGGGGAGAAAGCTACTCGATGAACCCATCCTCCGACAGTATATTCACTCATCAGTTGCCCGAATGGCATCTTTTGTCCCCAAGGATTTGGTGATGGTTTTTCGTCGACTTCTTTCACATACGCAGAGAAAACTCGGCATTTGAAATCACACGAACCAACTGCCAAAAGCACGTTGTTCGGGTGCCAGTCAAGACAAGTTACAGTTGATCGAATTGGTTTTTTGATTTGTTTTGAAACCCACCTGAATGTTTTTTCTTCAATAAAATAATTATTCTCAGTTTTACTCACCAGTGGTTTTCTTGTTCATAGTAGCAGACGGAGACCAGCTTAGCACCACTTCCGACGGCAAACTTGTTTTCTAATGGCGACCATTTTACATAAGTGGCCGCTCGATTGAAACGAACCAAGACCAACTCTGGCTTCCAAACATTTTTATCGAAGGTCCAAACAAAAGCATTCTTGTCCTGAGAGCACGAAACTATTCTATTAGTTTTGGTTCCCCAGTCGAGACCAGTAACCGGAAGATCATGTTCGGAAAGGGTATGAACGGATTGCCATTCTCCGTTACGAAACTCGAAAATATGGATTTCGTTTGAAGATGCAGACACGGCGATTTCTAAAATTATGGTTTTACAATCATTCATATACAGAAATAACCACAGAACTTTTTTAGGTTTCAAATATAATTGGGAAGATACTTACGAGTACGGTCTTTATTCCACGCGTGGCATGTGATTGGACCAATCCCGAAATTCCAGTGTAAAACGGGAACACCAGAAGACGACATTTCCGTTGAGCCGTCTGGAACAAAAAACTGACTAGCGTTATTTTAATGCAGTACTGAAAACGATTTTGAGACACATAAAAAGACATCGCATACAAAAAACAATGTTTATTCAAGAAAATATATAAAAATCTGCCGGAAAGCGATCGATTTGCGGCTTATTTTGTGTACAAAAGTCCGAAATTTCGGCAGAAATTAATCATGGTTGTATACACTCTCACGACAGATTGCGGAAGATGCGCACTGTTTCACGACAAATTAGGGATGCTCATCAATTTCGTGTGATGAAGACTTTGATTGCTGTTAATCCATTTTCAATATTTTATTTCGAGTATTAGAATTCGTGTGTTACATTAACTGCAAAATATTCAAATTGACACTATTTTTATGGAATGCTCTTGCAATACTTTTTCTAGATGTACTTCTTCGATTAAAAAAATCTTTAAATGCACGCTCTCCCACAGAACAATTCCGAACTGCAAATTAATTTTTGATCTACAGAAAAAAAGTTTAGACCTGCAA